TTCATCGTAATATTACCGTTTGGATTTTGAGTGAATAGTAATTACCTCAAGTATTTAAGTGATTGGTGTTCGAAGTGCAAAAATCTAATAGGGCAGAAGTTTAGGTTAATGTGAATGTTCTTGAAGATGTAACTACGTAAACTTCTTGAATAAAATATTCGAATATTTAACTGAATATGAATACTCTAATTGAAGAAAAAACACATTTTGATACTGAATATTTGCAACTGTTTTTTCAATCTTTAATAAACACATTTCTTTGAAGAACTATTACATCGCGCTAGAGCACTTTGTGTTTTTGTTAATTCACAAAACGATTTTTCGTCTTCACAGAGACGCAAAATTCTTTTTTTGTTTTTCAGCGAGTTTAAAGGTAAGAGATAAGTATAATTTGCAGTTAATTTTATGGCACATTTCTGTTCAATTAATGCAAAAACAAAGCTGAATGAAAAATGAAAACTAAAACGTTTACATATTTATTGACTTTTAACCCTAGGACCGGACCATGGGTGTACAGCACCCGAGCTCGTTTTCAAATGTAAATAAAATTGCTTCCAACTAAAAATTTCGTATTTCTTCAAGTACCATTCGATAGCTTGATCCTTTGGCTACATGCTACACCAAACATGTATATGTATATGTATGAATATGTGTAACATACGCGACTCGGCAACACATGTGTGTAAAGCGGACCATGGGGTGTACAGTGCCCGACTCCATACAATTTGTATGGAAAATCGATTTCTACTCACTTTCTCTCTTCTTTTGCTGTTTCTCATCACATCTCATTGTATATATATGTAAATTTGCATTTGTCATCCCATTCAATTTAATTTTTTGTTCAACGAAATTTTCAAAATCATCAAAAATTTTTCTAAATTCATAATTTCAGATATTCTTCTACGTAAATAAACCAAAAATAAAAAAAAAAATTAAAAAATCGCGAAGTTATTCAGTTGTGCGTTTGAATTTTGGAGCAAAAATGCTATTTCCCATATAAAATACACGTCGGGCACTGTACACCCCATGGTCCGGACCTAAGGATTTTTCGCATGTTCCGGTCCTAGGGTTAAAGAAGTGAAACTTTTGTTATGAGTAAAATTTTAAAATGAATGAACTGGGCAATTTTAAATTGAAGACAATTTGAGTGGAGATGACACGATTAAAGCGCTCCATCTGAAGTTGCAGTCGGTTTGCAAATCGTATTGATGTTGCCTCGATTCTTATGAAGTTTCTATGGTGTGAATGTTGTCCAAATGTCGTTTTAGACCACTTTTATAAATTTCGCAACGGAACGGCGTTTCGCCAGTGTGCGATCGAATATGCAATTTCAAATAAGATTTCCCATGAGTGACAAACTTCTTGCAGAGATGGCATTCTAAGCGACGTAAATTGCTTCATGTTCAGTCTTCAGAGAAAATCTTCCGAAACAGCCCTTGCAATGGAACGGGAAATCATCGGTGTGAGTTGTAGCATGCACCCTTGTGTGAATTCTTTTCCACACCAGTCGCATCGATATGGCTTTTCGCAGGTATGCGTTAACATGTGTCTGTCGAAACTTCCCTTATGATTAATGGAATATTCACAAAAAGTGCATCTGAATTTATTCCTCATCGATTGTTCTAATGCAAATCGTGGACTACTTGCAACCATTGTCTTCTTATTTCTGGTCTTTTGTCCACTGAATAAGCATTGGAAAGTCGTTGTCCATCCTTCGACGTACTAACAACTGTCATCGATACATTGTAAACGCCCCTCTTTCCATTCATGTCATTCAACGTGGCGTGTTGACCTTCAACAACAACCATTGGATTGCTCGTTCGAACGCGGTTTGTGGCACCATCGTTGCTAACTGGTTCCTGGTCAAAAGTGGAATTGCATTTTCCTTCTTTTAGCTAAAAATGAAAAAAATTCAAAATTACAGACGTTCTCCAAAAAGTATATTCAGCTTCACTTTGCCTTTAGACAAAAATACAAAAAAAAAACACGTACAGACTCTACTCAGGCAATATTCATTCAGCTTCTTGGCTTCTTTATTAAACAGGGGGATTGTTTTTTTTTCATGCATTACGATAATGTCTTTCTCACTGTTCTTTTCGTCTCTCATTCAGATATTGAGCGTGGCTGGATGTTCACCTCAATGCCTGTTCTCAGTCTAATCACAAAATTTGCACTAATTTTGAGAGAGAAAATCTTGGTAAAATACGATTTGTTTCGAATTGCTTGTAAATAAAAGTACACTTTTCTCCAGACTTGTCTAAGGAACAATTTCAATCGTTGACTGGTTGTTCATTTGTACAACAAAATATGAAACATTAACTTGTTGCGGTTGGCAAAAGCCTTCATTGCACTCACTCTTGTTCAACTTAACTTGAAGTTATTGGTATAATACATTAAAACACGTAGTTTTTGATTTAATACATTTTTTTAGATCCCTTTCAAACTCGGCACGGAGTGAACTTAAACAACTAAATGGAACGAT